CTTCGCCCTCACTGAATCCCGAAAAATCATCAAGTACAGTTCTATAGACCCTTTTTCTTTTCTCACAACCATCGAAAGTTCAACGATATTTTTAAAAAATTAAGCAAACGGATTCGTGAAAAAACCGATCAGCCTAAGGAATCCCTCTTCTTACCAAAGAGATTTGCTACTGCCATTATTCGATCTAACTCTCTAAGTTTTATCTCTTCCATCGAATAACCTTCCATGTCTAAGCCTTCTCTCTTTCCTTCTCCTTCCTAGCTTCCTTTTTTATCTCTTATTCTTTTCTGTATAAACTCTATTTTAATATTTTTCACCTTTATTAATTTTATCTTAGAAAAAATTAATTATCTGCAGTTACTATTCAAATAGAGTAACCTATCACCGAAAAAAATATATTTATTTTTAAAATATTAAATCAATAATTAAAGGTTTTCTTTTTGTTAATTTTCTTATTTTATCTCGTTTATTTTTTTTTAATTTAAAATTTATTATACATATTAATATTAATTTATCATATTAAAAAAAATGTAAAAGTCCCCAAGAGATCTATCTGGTTATAAAATTTCTATTTTATACAAAATTTTTTGTTTATTTTTTTTAAAAAAAATGATATTCTGTGACTTATTTCTTGCAGATATTGCATCCCTTCATCTATGACTAGTGTCTAGAAATGACCTTGAATAAGGCTTCCACCGATAGAAATTTAAAAATAAACTTGTATCATATATCAAATATTGAAGATTAAAAAAGGCAAGAAATTTTAATTTTTATTCGACGCTACGTGAAAAATTGAGAAAGAGGATTAAATATAAACGAAAGATTAAAAAATTGAATATTTCAAATAAATTTCCTGAAACAAAATCCTTATTCATTACATATATCAATCGTATCTTCATCCTCAGTCAAACGGGTTCCTAGCAATTCGCTTTAACTGGGTAGCTCCTTAATAAAAATATCGAATACAATGACCAACATTGTGTTATTTAACATTTATTTGGATTAAATATTAAATGTAATGTTGTTAAACGGCTCGATTTAGGGCCGATTTTTAAAAACGACCATCTCAATATTTTATCCAATAAAATATCACGCAATCATTGGGGTTTTAGTCATAGGTAACACAAAGGTTAATTTTCAAAATTTCGAGGTTTAGGCAATATTTTTCTGGCTAAAATATTTTAAAAATAGAACCAAATCGAGCCCCCTTTATTAACACTAATTAATTCTATTTGTTTAAAATATAATATAGATTTGTATAAGCCCGTTTACGAATTTTGATTGCTTTCCTTTTTTTTTATTATTATTAAACTAACGTTGAACTTAAGCATATTTGAACTTTTGTTGACAAAAAAAACGCAAATGAATATGGGTCCACTAATATACCTATTATTCTAAGCTTCTAATTCTCGAATCATATTATTTTAAAAAATTTATTAAATTTCATTTTCTAAGAATGTTAAGCTACTTATTATAACTAGAAATGAGACTATTGTTCCGTTATAGTTATTCTTGTAAAATGAAAGATATTATTATACCTAGAATATTTTTGATCAAAATAACAAATATTTGCATTTTTACAAAATAAGTTAAAAAAAAAATAAAATAATATTATATTTTATTTTATTTTTATCTCAAATTCTTTATAAAATATAGTTTTTGTTGTTTATTCGAAATTTTTCTTAAAATTTTTAGCTAGTCTGGCTAGGCGCGCCTTCTTCGAAATTATCTATGACACTTTTTGAAGGAGCATCTTAAAAGGGTATATAATAATGTGTTTTATAAACTATCCTTTGTAATATTTTATTTAATAATTGTAATTATTTCTTTTAATAATGCTTTTTTATTTTGAGATCATCTGGATGACTTTTAGCTATGTATATTCCTCAACTTACCCCATCGACAGTAAACATTTTATAACTTTTGTATCATTAATATTTTTATTATTATTATTATTATACCTAAACCTGTGCGCCCCATCAAAAATGCCGCAGTTTATGAAAATCATATCAGCGTCGCAAGGCTGGCGCAAAATTTTTATTAAAAATAATTTCCATATTTTATACATTTTTTTTCTAAATTGGTCAACATCACTATTGTAAATTTTTTTATATAAATTAGGATTTTGATGAATTCTTGATTTATAATTATTTTGACATCATTTTATCAATCTAAAATTCCATAAGTTATAATATTTTAATAGAGCCCTATTGATTAAGTGAATATGAGCAATACTTATACTTGGGGTTTACATAATCTGGTTTACAGTGGATAGTATTAATTATCTTTTGTTGAAAATCATATTTTGAGTTCGAGGCAGATCAAAGATAATGCCTAAGTACAATAAATTTAACATCCATTATGTTAATAGAATTTAAATAAAAAAATTTTTATACATGATAATTATAAAATTCCAAAATAGATTTAGAATTTACAATGAGATTTCTCAATAAGATTTAAGAATATGCCGAGATATCTGTAGTGTAGTTTATATTTTAATTAAAAAAATATATATTGTAAAAATTTTATAACGGTACGCCAACAGCCAATTAGATCTTTTGAAACTCGCGCCTCGATAGTTTTGTTTGCGTACAGGTCTAATTATACCTAATATAATGTATGCATAATTTTTGAAAAAGGATCTACCGGCCATAAATGATTGCCCATCCTGCATTTTCTTAATATTTTTCTTAAAATAAGACAACACACAATATGAGGTTTATCGAATTTATTTATAAATTTACATATTATTGCATAAAATTACAAAAAATAAAAGACATAGCAATTAATTAAGATCAAATTTTGGTCTCATCAATATTATTCTTAATAATTGCTGCAAAAATTTTTGGTAATCTTTCGATGAGATTTTTTAAATATTCGGAAGTGATATTGTTCCATTCTCTCTGCAATACTTCCCAAAGGTGCGAATGAGAGGTTAGTGGGCTTTTTCGCCCATAAAAGTTCGATTAGATTGAGATCGGGAGACTGGGATGGCCAAGTCATCAACTCGAGAATACAGTGTTGTTGTAGATTTTGTAAATAATCTTTGCATATCCAGGATGTATGCTTTATGTCTACTTGTTGAAATAAAGAGTTATTCCCGATCAAACACTTTCCTGATGAAATCACATGGTCCTCAAGGATTTGCCGGTATCCCTCCTTGTTAAGGATTCCTTTAATTTTGACAATGTCGGCAGATTCCCTGGCACCAAAGCATCCCCACACCATAACGGACCCTCCCCGAATTTGGCTGTAGGCATTATGCAGTGATCGCTCATTCGCTCTCCCGCTGAGCGGCGGATATATTGCCTCTTTTAGAACAGAAGATTTCGAATTTTGACTCATCACTCCATAAGACGTGGTACCAGCTGGCAGATGTCCAAAATTAATGTTTTCGTGCCCAGTCTAATCGCTTGAGTTTAATTTTTTGTTCAAGAGTGGCTTTTTGACCGCTACCCTACCATAAAGTTCAAAGCTCCTAAGGCGCCTTTTCATAGTTGTGACACTTATCGGGTTTTCCCGAGTTAGATTAATCTCCGTAGCTATCTCTGAGGCGACAAGTCGTCGATTGCGTTTACTGATCCTTGCTATATACCTATCATCGCTTAAAGTCGTTTTGCTGGGTCTTTCAGGCCTCTTTGTATTCGATATTGTATTATTGTTGCGTCATCTTTTAAGTATATAATCGACTGTTCGTCTAGCTAGGGTTAATTCTCTGGCAATTTTACCATTACTTTTAATACTCAGGTGTAAATTAATTATTTTGCATTTAGTTGGAATAGAAATTTCTTTTCTTTTAATCATTTTAGTCGAATGTTCGTTAAAATATTTATAAAGACTGAAAGTTTCTTTAAACAATGATTTAAAACAAAAAAAAATCTAGGAATTGAATTTTTTTTAAAATAATTAAAAATAGGTATTAATAAGCAGATTAGAATGTGATTAATGACTTTCTTCCAAAAAACAATGGGCAATTTAAAATTGTTGCTGAAAAAAACTAATGAACCATATTTTATCAAATTGATCATTTTTGACATGTTATTTTCAAAGGCTAAAATTTCATAGAAACATTTATAGAAATTTCGAGTTTTTTATTTCTAAACATGTCTAGACATCTTAAATTAATTAATCAATTCGCTTTTACCCAAATAAGTTAAAAGGTTTTAAGTTATTAATTTTTTTATGTAAAAATGCAGGGTGGGCAGTCATTTATGGCCGGTAGTGTATATATATAACATACAAATCAAATTATAGGAGCGATACCCCATAAGATAGACTCCTATATCATTTTAAAGCTCTCTCCTCCTTATTTACTGGTTATTGGAATTTGGGTGCTTACATTTATAACGCATTTCCCTACTTTTTATTTTTCCCTAGTCATTTTTACATTTTACGATTTTTATGTTTCTCTTTATATTTTAACCTTTTAAATTTCCTACTAAAATATATGTATGTAAACGTCAAAGTGTTTTTATCGGCAATATGTTATTTTTTGAGCGTGTTTTTTTTTAAATTTAAAAATCTGATTTTACCGGAAATACATTTCCACCATGTTTCGAATACCTATCTTATGAATTATGGTAAAATCAAATTTTTTTAAATTTAAAAAAAGCGCTCAAAAAAGGATTTAAAGTTGAAAAAATGGCACTTTGCCGGAAGAACACATTGACGTTAACATATAACATTTATTTACTGATGCCGATTTTTAAATTTGAAAGATGATTGAAAAACGAATATAAAACACATTTGCCCTAAACTTTTGAATTACTCTACATTTATTATTATAGATCTTTCATCTAAATTAGAAGGAAAAAAGTTACTAGGATTGCCTAGAATTTATAATGTGTGTGCTACTTTAAACTAGAATCTTTCGCCTCGTTTAGAAAATTCCTTTAGTTAATTTATTTTTTTATCGACATTTTTTTTGGGGGGGGGGGGGGGGGTTAGAGTGGACTCTACCTAAAAAGAAATAAAATTTTGGGCCCTGCAGAAAAAAAGTTATGACTCTCTATTCAACACTTATAGGAGAAATACCGCATCAAGTCAGTTCCAAATTAAAAATAACTATCTGTAAATTAGTAAAAATTGATAGATCCTGAATCCCTACAGATTCTTTATTCCTTTGCGACATATTCCATAAATATTTTAGAGGGAAATTAATGTTTATAGCATGAAAGTGCAGCATTGGTTTAAAATAAACTCTATTAAAAAATTTCGAGAAATGAATGATCCCAAAGAAATATTTTTAAATTTTTAATAATGATTTTCAAATATTTTAAATAAAATTATAATTCAAAAATCTAGATGAGATAAACACCTTAGAAAAAGAGAACATATCTCCTACTACTTTAACAGGACCATATATAATTGAAACAATATTCGTAGTTCCTTATACCTGGGCACCATTCATGCCACATGATAAAAATCTTTTCGATTATAGATACAATATTACTTATTACAGAGAATTAGCTGATATCGTATGAAATTATTTTACTTATGTTTTTTTTAAAATATTTTAAGCATTTTTTTTCTTCTTAATTTTAAAACATCAAAAAAAAATGACATACAAAGTTCTGTGTATTTATCAAAAATTTTAATTAGATTAGATAAAAAGTGATAAGTTTTGGTTAGGTTAGAATTACTGAGTTTTGAGATAGATATATCATTTAGTGAGTGTTATATTGTTCTATATCCACTTTTTTGCAGAATGCTTCATTTTGATAAATAAATTTTTCAATTTCTTCCATATCGACAATTAAAATGTTAAAAAATATATTATTATTTGTATTATTTATTACATTGTGATATCCTCTCTAACATACAAGAAATATATTTTTTTTTAAATTCTCTCCTGAACAATTTTAAAAAATGAATAACAATAACGAAATAGTATTTTGTTTTATCGCCTTCGATTATATTCCAAAAATGAAAATTTAATTTATGTTAAAAGATATTGAGAAATAAATATATAATGCAGTGTGATGCGTGCGTTTAATTTATATAGGACATATTTGTATATTTTGTATATTAGATAAACAACTACTTGGCTCATCCTAGCATTAAAAGTCATATTCGTTTGAAGTTTGTGGACGTTAAGTTTGAATATGATGTATAAAATAAAGATTTATTCACGTTAAAATAAAAACTAAATAATTTTAAAAATTTTTAATATTATATTTTTTGAAATATAATGTTTTAAAGCGATGAATAATATTTAAAATCATATCGAAACTCGCTAAATAGGATTTCTATCAAATTTGTTTTACAAGTATCATTTTAAACTTATTTAGCAGGTTTGATATGATATATTAAAATTTAAAAAGATATATATACTCTACAAATCATTTTAATAAATGATTCAGTCCCAGTTTAGCATTTATACAACAAGGTAAAATTCTATAATATGTACATATTCCTTCCTTTTTATTTTCGAAAGTCGGACTTGGTTCACTCGAGAGATCCTGCTAAAACTTACAATGTTTTGCATGATTACATGAAGAAGAAAACTTTATACGTCTATGATCTGGCCATCTTAATTAGCGAGTTTAAAAAAAAATAGATAATGTTAATTTATTATATTCATGAATATTAAAATAATTATTTTATTTTTTTAAAATTAACTTTAAAAATAATTATCGAATACTCAAATAATTCTATTCCAATATCCTTAAATATACATATAAACTTTTCTTTTACAAAAATCTAGTAAAATTAGCTCTACCGGTGTATTGGGTAAGTTATTAAATAAATTACTCCGCATTATAAATGATTAAAAAAATTAGATTTAAATAATATAACACTCTGAATTAAATTTCTCATTGATATTTTTGCATAAGAGGTTTATGTTTTCTTTTAAACCGAGTTATTTAGATCATCAAGAACATGGCATGGCCTTTTCACTTCATATGATTTTTTTTAAATTCATTTCAAAAATAAATGTTATGCTTAATTCTCTGAAAAGAGATAGTGTTATTTATATCTCTAGCACCATTAAGGCTTCGAGATCGATTTATATGTATGATTATTTTTATATAACAGGATTTTATAATCATATTTGAAACACAGGATATGCAACAGGGGACGTGTGCAAACCAGGTGGTAATCGGATTATGGTTCAAGATATGGGGTATGATACCGCAAGAGTAATTGTTCATGAACTTGGACATTGGTTAAAATCATTATATTCTATTAATTAAAAGAAATTTCATAATTAAACACTCTAACTTAGCATAATCAGTTCAGTTCTCTTTTTAAGTGTCCTAAAACTCCTAACTTTAAAATTAAATTAAATTAAAAAATGCTAAGTTATATCTTTTAATCAAATTGATAAATAAAAATAATCAAAATTTCGAAGAAACTAATTTTTGCATCTCTTCCAAAACTATATCAACCATTTAAAACACTAACTATTATTTTAAAGTTTCATATCAGAAATTAAAAAAAAAATTTTTATAATATTTTTATTTAATTAATGGCCTCTTTTACTGATGTAGAGCAGAGTTGTTAAACGCTACTTTTATAAGTAGCGCGCTACCGCTATCGCTAATTGTTAAAACAGGTAGCGAGCTACCGCTCTCGCTATTTGTCAAAAAAAGTAGCTCTATTATAAAAAAAATTTACAAACAAATTTTTAATTTTTTGCTTATAATGTTATTTATATAAAAATCAACATTTATAAATATTAAAATATAGTTAGTTTTGATTATAAAAAAATTTATGTAATAAAAATAAATATTTATGGTAATTTGTTGCATTTTAATAATAATATCATTTCAATATTATCATCCTCAAGTCTAGAGCGTCGATCAGAAAGTATAAGTTTTGCCTTATTAAATAATCTCTCGACACTAGCACTTGAGGGTAAGGGCGTATTTAATCTTATATACATATTTTTAATATATTATCAATAATTTTATTTGCAAGTACATCGTATGTCTGGCATCTTGTTATCATTTTGAGGGCTAATGCCACATCTTCTTTTTAAAGTTCTAGGGTCTAGTCAATGGCCTGTGATTCCCAAATAAGCTCAAAAATATTTAATAAGATCAAGTTATAAATATAAATAAGTTTTTACCTTCTGTTATGTGTTCAACTATCTCCCGTGGTACATATATATGATATCTCTGATAACTCTACTATTAGAGCATCTTTCATCATTTTAAAGTTATATGCTATTTTATTCATTAGTGTCTGGCGGCATAAAATTGTTGTACCAGGGGGACAGACTTTTAATCATCATGGTAAATGATGGATTATCAACTAAGGACATTGGCTGAACTGTATAAATTATAAAATCAACAATAACTTTATCAGCCAATTTCTGATAAATATTGTCATTTGCATTATTAATTAATTTGGTTTGAATTGAATTAGTCTTTTTGGATGTAGAGTCGCCTATACCAAAATTATTTAGATGTTTCTCTATTTCCTTAAAACTCATGAACAGTCTTATAAAATAAATATTATTAGAATGTAAAAATGACAATTTACTTTTAGGATTGATTTGGGGAAATATTTTTTTTTACATTTTAAACAAATAAATTTGAAACCAGTTTTGGTTATATATTTATTTAAAGAAATTTTCAAATCTAATGGGAAATTTCTATTATAGCTATTAAGAACATTTTCTTCCCTTGGTATCTTCCATTTCATTAATATCATTGTCTGAATCACTTTCAACGATTTGGATATCCATAGGCGATGACATTTTAAATTATTAACACGTGATTTAAGTTTATAATACAAATGAAAATATAAATTACAAATTTAAATTATATTTTAATTTCAAAATTAAATAATAAATAATAAAAATTATAATTAATTATGATATTATATTTAAATTTTCGTGTTTATACATACCTTCATTATATTTATTAAAAGTAGCGAACTACTTTCAAAAAAGTAGCGAACTACTTCCAAAAAAGTAGCGCACTAAAAAATTAAATAATTACAAAAAAAGTAGCCGCTATTAGCTATAGCTACCAAAAAACGCGCTACTTTAACAACTCTGTCAGAGTATATAATTTTTTGCTATTATAATTATAGAATAAGAGAAGAAGAAAAAAAAATTAAGATATTAAATTTGAATGAGACTTTTGGGTAAGGGTAGAAAAAATGTTAGATTGACATATTCGTTTTTCCCAATGTTCTATTTATCCCATTTAAAAAAATTAGGCTAAATTACTACTACTTTTTGTATATAAAATTTTTTGTTAGATTAATATTATTTCGTGTATTATAAATTCTCTATCATTTAAATCTATTCTAGCCTTTCAGCCCAAGATGAACATAAAACTCAGTGTTCTAGTGAAAACGAAAAAGGAATAATGGATTCTGGAAGTGGTTTATCTAGAAAATATATTTGGTCTAAATGTAGCCAAAAGGCTATCACTGAATCCTTAAGGTTATATTTGTTTTTTTTTAAATGATAATTTTAAAAATTGAAAAAACTTATTTTATAAATATAATTGTAGGACAAAAGGTAGCTGTTATTTGAGGAGAAGGAATAGTGATCCGGAGGGCAAATTGATTCGACTGAATTTCATTGACAAAAATATTTCGTTTGACCATCAATGTCGCGTTAATTGGGACATCGATCATACTTTTCTAATGACTGTATATTATTTCGAAATATTTATGTTTAATCTTTTTCAAAATTGAGATTTCCGATTTTTTCGCGTAGGAATTTTGACACATATTTTCTGTATAATGTGTGTCTGTTTTTTAAGGGTATATGAGGGGTGCCTTGAAATTGTAAGATAATACTTTATTTCACATACTTAAAAAATACTCAGATTTAGAAGCAGTAAAGTTTAGGATGAGATAAATATCTAAATGAAAATAATAACCCTTTATTAGCAAGCCTAAATGACAAGAGTAATGAGAGACAATTGCGGTCTTTGGTTCAAAGCAAAATTTAAAGAACGAGTTTGACCACGGTAATCGAATAAAGATTGGTCAAGCTCGGGCCCTTAAATAAATACCGCTTTGATAATATTTTATTTATAGCAAAAATAAACATGAATAAATCAGAGATAAAATTTCTTAATTCTTCTCAATTGACTTCTCCGATTGACAAATGATACTCTACTAAACTTTAGCTACATACTATATAATGTTAATCCAAAAAAAAACTCAAAATGTTGGGACCCTTAAGAAAACCTGATAAGTAGGCTCCCCGCAAGAATTGGACTAGTGTCCTCCACTAATTAGATATCGTTAAGTATTATCATTACAATACATTTTTTTTTGTTTAAAAATAAATCTTTAATCATCTTTGTTAAGGACTCTCCAACGCCGTGCAAAGAACTCAGATGTCATGGTATCTCGGGCGTCAAAACTATTCACGAAAGACCAATAGATGGCACCTCGTGTTCTAGAGATAATAAAAAAGTTTTCTATATTACGATATCTTAATAATAATGCGCTATCAATGTTTTATATTAAAAATTTTGTAACAATTTCACCATTCATATAATATTTTATTGTTATTTTAAAAAAAAGTAATTGTAATTTAGAGTGATTATACTACGTGATTTAGGTAATAATTAAAATGTTCATCAAGCATTTAAAAATGTGTTTTAGTAATTTTCGTTTAAGTCTCAATAAATCTCACTCATTTCGAGGCTTTAATCGTAAAAATACACACCTTAATATGACTAGAATAAGTGAAATCTATTTATTCTAGCTAATTCGAGCTCAATTTCAATTAAACTTTCCAAAAGAGTCGAAAGATTTGTTGCATAAAATGTATAGGGTTTTTTTAAGGTTCCGTAATATTAATCCTTTTCCCATGTCCCAATCGATTTCCCATTTATTTTTTTCCAAATTTTATATCTTTTCAATAACGATAATTATCAACGTTTCATTCAAATGAAAAGATCTGCTTTAGAGGTAATTGCCTTGAAAAATCTGAATTGGGCCAAGTTAATGATATTTCTAGATGGGCTCAATGGGGACCATGGTCGAAGTGCAATGGTAATGACTTTGTAGGTTATAAGACAAGAGAAAGAGAGTGCAATGTAGATGGGTATATATATAATATATAAATGCAAACTATCTATATATTTTTTTCTTAAATTTTAAGAACAAAATAGTTTAAATGTTATGATTTGATTCGTTGAAAACTTTTTGAAAATCGGAAAAAATTTTTGCCCGGGTTCGGTTTAAGGTTAAAAAAATAGTGGGTTCGGTTCGGGTTCGGTTCAGGGAAATATTTTTGAACCCGGCTTTGGTCCCGGGTTTAGTTTGGTTGGGCTTTAGAATTTTGGAATTGATAAAAAAAAAATTATATATTTAAATGTATTATATTCTTTATTGTGCAATTGCAATAACATTGTATATTTACAAGAAATTTAAAATTAATATAATAAAGTAAAAACTAGACATAAATTTGGTATAAAAAATAAATTTTTTATTTTATTTATATAGGCAAAAAATAGTTAAAAATACAATCGGGTTCAGATTGTTTTCCAAAAACCGGGTCTTCTCTGGGTTCGGGTTCGGTTCGAATCCCTCCTTGTCATCAATGTATAAATAAACCCTTGTATGTTATTATGTCTTTTTTTTATACCAGGAATAAATCTTTCTCTTTCAAAGTTTTACATATTTAAACTAGAATGCCGCTTTGGTTTTTGGTGGTGTATATTTATTTCTTTGTCATTTAATTATATTAAGATCAATTATAAATTTTTATGAATATTATCAATTTTATAAACAAACTTAATATTTATTTATTTATTTTTAGAGATAAAGGAGGATTATATTGCAAAAATGACTATAAAATGCTAGCGTTTTGTAAAAATGTAAATTTTTTAGTTATTTCATAAAAAGATATTAATTTGGGATATTTTTTAGGATAATTCTAATTATATTGTTGAAAATCAACGTATCTGCAGCAAACATCACCCAGGATCTGAATACAAGGAAAGTATGAAAAAAACGATTATATTATTAACCAATCTAATTAAACCCTTTTTATTTTAATTAAATACGAATTTCACCTTTGTTTAACTTAAAAATATGGCTAAAATTAAAACATTTTACAAAAAATTTATCAATAGATCTTGAGAGGTAAAAAAATTTCCATACATTATTAGCCTCCTTTATATGAAAAGTCGGTTATCATTCAATTTTAAAATATCGCTTCATATCATCAATTCGTGGAGATAACGGAAGGCCCAATAAACCCTTATATCGTCTTTGAGGGATAAAGGGGCCCTAATAATTTTATATAAGAATCTTTAATAATCACTCATAACAAAACATAAAATGACTGTCATCAACCAGGTCATAATTAATAGATGGTAGAGGAGGAGGAGGGGGGGGGGGTGTCTGTTGGGGATCGGCTAAATTAACAGTGTATTTATCTAAATTTAAAATCATAATATAATGTTAATATAAATTTTTAACCTACCCCCCAATAAAAATCCAGGTTACATTTAGTCATAATTTGTATGAATTCACTATCAACTATACTTATTATTATTAATACAAATATGCACACTAATTTAATTATATATCTTCTCAGAAATAACGTACCCATGCAAATTAGCTTGTTTTTTACGTTCATCATTGTATATAATGACGGAAGATGTCGTTGATGGAACACCCTTCAGTCAAACTGGACTTTGCGTTAATGGATACTTGTATTTAAAGTAATTAGATTACTACTCACCTCACAATAACGAGTCTTCGAGAAGAAAATTTTATACTTGAATTGAATTTATTTTATAAATTACATTTTTTTTTGCTATACTTATTTTATATGACAAAATTTTTTATCGACATTTTGGAATTTTATTATTAGGTAATATAAGGAAATTTTTTTAAAATAAATCAAATGTATAGTTGGATAATAAATGTTATATTTATTATATGTTGTAAATTCATAAGCGAATAAATTTCCAATAAAACCTGTCTTGGGGTCTTCTTAATATAATTCGAGCAATTCCTTAAATTGACCTAAATTTTGAGTCCAATCAAATTCCTATTAACTACTATTAGAATGTCTTTTATACTTGAATTAAATTTATTTAAATTTATTTAAATTACATTTTTTTGCTATACTTATTTTATATGACAAATTTTTTTATCGACATTTTATTTGTAACGTTTTTATTAGGCCTATAGGGCAATTTTTTTTTAAAATAAAACAAATTTGTGTAAATGTTATATAAATTATATGTTGTAAATTCATAAGGGCATGAATATGCAGTAAAATCTTGGGTCTTCTTAAAATAATTAGTCCCCTGGTTCTTGTCAATCTTGGGGATTTCTTCTAGAGTACTCATTTTTTAACCAAAAATATACTACATTAAGCATATGTGGCTATAATTTTTTTTTATATATTAAATGATTTACACACTCAAAACAAACTTTTTTTAAATGCTGCAATTTATCAAAAATAAGATAATAATTATACAATAACTACCTTATATATAAAAAAAATTAAACACCATTCTCTATAAAATCATTCTATCTATGAACAAATAATATGTTTAAACTACCACAAAATTAAATTCCAAATATATTGAGGGTCTGAGCCCATTTTTTTTAAATTTACCTTTGCTTAAAATTTTTAATGAAAAGAATAATAAGCATAGGATGGAAAATCCTATGAGGTTGGGAAATAGGGGTTTGATTTCAATTCGAGAATCTATTATGTCATATCAAAAAATTATGAAAAGAAAACTAAAAATAAGCATCAATTTAACCCCCCCCCCCCCCCTATATAAAGAAAGCCAAGGAAAGAGCTGTGAAAGCTTCTAATAACAATAATAGTAAAAGCAGCAATAATAAAAATACATGTTTTACTATTGCAACTTTGTAATAATGAAAACTGATCCAAATGCCGTAGATGCTCTTTTTGGGTATACAAGGATTTTGCAATTTTAATCCATTCTTTATTTGTTCAAATTATTATAGTTATTTTCCATTATGTCTATTTATCAATTAAGTAGTTCCAATAATATAAATATCCTTTTTTTATGTAAAAATACACTATTTTACAGCTCAAAAGCGACTCATGAGAAAGCTCGTCTTTCTCCGGGTGTAGCTCATCGTTTCCAAATTTCGGAAAATTTAATAGGAATTACCGGGGAACATGCGAGCCCTAAAAGGCTAATGTCAATAAAATTTCAATAAAATTAAAACTATTTTATAATATTAAATAAATAATAAGCATTTTATTCCACTTATATACTTTTATGAAATTTTTTAAAAAAAATTATACTTTATAAAACAGTAAATTAATTTTTTCGTAAAAAAATTGCGAAAGTATGAAGCCACACCAGGGGAAAATGAGTTTTCCTATGAGGCGCTTTTTAGCTGCAAAATATTTATTATTTTTAAATATAAAAATTATATATATATTATTACAACTATTTTATTGATAAAAATAAGCCATAATGGAAAATAATTATAAAGAATTAGTGAAGTATCTTGACATTTTAAACAAAAAAATCTTTAGACCCAGCCCAACTCATTTTATTTGTTTTATTCGGGGATGATTCACTAATCCTATACGCTATATATCCAAAAAAAAATTATATGGGGCAATAAGAGACCATTGTATATAATCTTTTTTTTCATGCTGCCTTTATAACGCTAACGTTATTTTAAAAAGATTATAAGTTATTTATAATAAGCTTATAAAAAATTATATAAGCTTCCAAAATATTAATTTGTTAAATTTCATTTTAGTTTTTTTAAAAAAGCAACATCAATTTCCTGTTTTTTAAACGTTGAATAAAAGAAGTGGCATAGGATGAATTCTTGAGATAGATGATTCTGCGTTCTAAACACTGCGTAAAGATCTAAGACGACCTCTAAAAAAAACTATATATGTATATTATAGCATTATATTCGCTAAATAATCACTAAGTAAAAATTATTTGGATACAAATTTCAAATCCAAATATTTGATTACAAATATAAAAATATTATTGTTAATTTTATACTGCGTGCCATTTACTATTATGAGTAATAATACTTGATCAAATAGTGATTTTAAAATTCGTTTGGCATTTTTTCTAGAGTTTCATTTTATAACTATTTTAGCTTAAAATTATAAAAATTTAATTAATATTACTCTTTATCAAGTTTGTTGTTTTTAAAACCCAATATTTCATTTAACTTGAAAAATTATGAATCTATTAATTTTGAAGGAATACTCAAAAATCTCTAACATTAGCATTTTTGCTTTCCTACTTACCATTTTATCATTCTCAATAACGATCGTTCAATTAGGTAAACACAAAGATTTATTTTATCATAGATATATTTTTATACAAATTTTAAAAATGAAAATTTAGGACCTTAATACATTGTCTTTTTCTATAGTTATATATGTTGTTAAAAAAAGCATATATTTTCATTTTAAAAAATTAAAGATTTACAAGTCATTCTTTCATTTTATATTGTTTAATAAAGACATATTTTTCATTAATTGTTTTATTTTAAAAATAAAGGGAATAGTCCATATGAGGGTTAGCTTTTAAAATCTAAATTTATATGTTTATAAATAGATATTTTAAATCTATTTTTTTAAATGAGGTTGTGATATCATATATTATTTGGAAATATGAATTAGGATAATCGCTGTATTTTCTTAGATTTATTTAATTAATTACTTTTTATAATATATAAGATAATTGATAAAATGTGCACAATATAAGTTTATTTTTTTTATATATTAATTTTAAAATATTATTATTTATACTAAGTTAAAAAAAATTGAAATTTTTATATGTTTACATTTACACCTCTCCCCTCATCACCCCTTCCATATATTCCCTATTGCTTCTATTCTCATCCTAATTGTTTCTATCGCATTTCTTTAATTTTTTTTTATTATCTTCTTTTTATTTCGTTGTTTACTTTTGTTATTTTTTTTTCTTCTTTTTTTTATTAAAAATTTTATTTGTCTATGGCCTATTTTTCATTATTTTTATATCCTATGTTGTTTCTCTTTTATTTACTCCTATTTGTTTATTTTTTTAAATTTCTATTTTTTTAATCCCTCTTTCTTTTCAATATTCTATCTTTTTTTCCTTCTTTCCTCTCTTTTCTACCTTTTAAATTTTATTTCATACCAGGTTGTTCAAAAGAAATAGAAAGCTGCTAAAAGAGAGTGAGACTTAGCCAATTTCAATGAAATCTAATGATTTTATTTTTAAAAAAACATATATCTAAGTTTTTCACGAAAAATTTCAAAGAGATTTAGATCATTGAATAGGTAAGTTCTTTTTAATGATTTAAAAGAATTCCATTTTTAGTTATTTTATTTTATCGGAATTGATGTTAAATATAGCCTTTCCATTTTCGAGCTTCCAAAGCTTCGCGAGTGGTCCGGAGGTTTAAAAATTGAACACTTCCTTCTATGCCAAAAACCTATATTGCTATATATTTTTTTTGCAATTTATAAATACCGAGTTGACTTTATAAAGTGCTCTAATGGGCAATATTTTCCTAAGACCTGGCAGTCCTGAATCTTTCACTATTAACATTTTGGCAAAAAATCATATATAATTCTTTATTCGGTTAACTCGAAGAATTCCAATTCTTCTCAGAAAAATTGTTAGTTACATTGCAGGATTCTAATGTTTCCTTTTCAGAACAAATATTGTTACTTTTTAGGACGTTATAAGTCCATTTTAAGTACTCCATAAAACTTAGAAACGATTATTTTTCTCCAACCCTTTCAGATTATTGCAGAAATTGTGTGCGTGATTTATTGAAAAAGACCAAAAAAAATCGAATCGAATAATGTCACATCTATCTTTAGTTTCTAAGTTCTTCAAAAACATTAAATAATGATAACCTTTATCCTTTTCTTAATCTGTTCATTCTTCTGGTCTCTAATGACTTGTGGGAAACGTTGACAATCGGATACTCACATGCGCCATTGATGCCAAGAGGGAAACTCGAAAATAAATATCGGTAGTAACCCAAAAAATTAATAGATGCAGGATTATAGATATTAACGTAAAAGAGGGTTATGTAAAAATGGTAGAGGTGGAGAATCATAGATATGTATTAATACTGGTTTTAAAGAATCATACGGATATCTTAGCCTACTCAATCGATTGATGTTAACCGACTAAGCTCAGCCTATAATTTTATTCTTAACCAAGTTGGAATAAAAAAAAAGGGATAGACTGAGATGATAGGTAGGACTCGAATATGTCAAAACAAGCTATAACTATATAAAAAAAAATATTTTAACTTTGTATAAATACTTTCCCAAATAAAATTTTTAATTATTTTATGGTATCTAAGATACTTAATGGTGCTTAAAAATTATATTTCATCAAATTAATTTTATAAATAATCTTTATACATAATTTCCATCATCTTGAAAAAAAAATCATATTTTAGTAGCACAATCTTCAGATCCGCAATATAGTGTAGTAAGACCGAGGATGATACCCTTTTCTAAATTATCAAAATCAATACATCGCCGGCATTATGAAGATAAATCGATGAAAGATTCCAAGAAAAAACAATATATAAGTTTTCCCTTCGAATTCGATCATGATTTACAAGGAGATGATAACGATCAAATGTTCCTTAAACAAAAACTTCAAGAAAGAGCTGAGATTATCAAGGATAACCATGTGGTAAAGCGCACCATTAATAAAGAATCTATAACTAATGAAAGCCATAGATCTAAATCCATCGATTTGAATGATCATCAAACTAGGGGAACCATCGATTCTCAAAGGAAGCCATTAAAGCTAGCTAAAGTCAATAAACTATTGTTATGCTTCCAAAAGGCGTCCAGCGTACTGTCCCCAGATTTCCAATCCGATTTTGAACACATAGATTTTAAAAGAATTGCCCAAGATTTGCACCAGGGTGTCGCAATTTTGAAGGATGAAGCTTCCCTCGTAACTGACTACCAGAGCGAAAACCTTAATTCGTCTTCATTTCCGTTAACGCTAGAAATTAGGGGGGATAAATTGGTAAACAATATTAAACTATCATCAGATGTTTTTTTGAAAATTTTGATGTATTTTATAGTTATGAATTATCAAATGTAAAATTTTTTTAAAAAAATTAAATCTTTTGAAGAGGTAATATGAGTCATTTGAGTAAATAAACCACCTCTCTCAAATATCATCTATAAAGTTAACTATTTATCGTTTTTAGATGGAGACAAATTATTTTAATAATGTTGGAAACTATTTAAGTCTTGAAATATTTCTAGAAGAACGATTTTTTTAAAAGGTAGGATCCTTTTTTGGTATTTCTTTAAAGATTAAGTCATACATGGATGAATATTATATTAAACTTCGAAGAAAAATAAAAAAATTTAACAAAATTTGAGAATTTTTAAAAATTGAAAAAGATTTTTTTTTAAGATACAATCATTTGAATCTCAATGACTCAATAATTTTAGGTAGTGTGTGTAGATGCAAAATTAAATTCATTTTTTCATCCCATTTTTTAAGGTTATCGTTTGAGGTCGGGGAATATCCGATTTATACTTGTTCCTGGAATTTTCAATTTGTTATACCAGTGATATATTGAAGAAATTCACAAAAAATATGAAGACTATAAATTTCTTTATGTCTGAATATAATGAATTGAAATATCATTATAGTCATCTTTATTCATAAAAATTCACACAATAATTCCAATCTTGTACAAAATTAAAAATATGTAAATACATGCTTTAAAACCCGAATTACGCTGCATTTATAGTAAATGCGTTATCTTCAAGCGTCGCGTTATTTGCCGCAGCGTTATCACGTCTGGTTCAGTTTTAAAAACTAATTTAAGGTAAAACTAAAATAGAAATAATTATTTTATAAATATTTTTAAAAAATCATATACCTTTTTATCGAATTCGCTATTATTTTTATAATCGTATTGAATATATTTTTCTTATCAACGCATCGCAACGTATGTTTTTCAAATTTTATCATAGCGTTATCATCATAAGGCTTCATATTTATACATTTATACTTATTTATTGGCTTTGATTGTAATATAACACTGCGTTAAATAATGCAACGTTTGAACGTAAGGCGTTTTCTATAAATGAGGCTTATGTCGAATTGCGCACAAATCAAAACGTAAATATAAAAACGTAAACGCAGCTATGTTTAAATTGAAGCGCTAACTTTCATTTTTTTCAA